TCATTACATCGAAACCGACAATAAATATAATAAAAACTGTGCACGATGTTATAATTGTATATTTTTATTGTATATTTTATTTTTTATAAGAAACTTTTTATTATTCTTCTCTTAATTGATGTGGGTCAAATTGACCCTGTATTCGGTTAGCGCGTCGCTATCCAGACATTCCACATCCTAGGGTTAAAGAATACGATTCATCACACGAAAGCGACTATAAAGAACATATAGCGGAACTAGCGGAATTATGTTCGCTTTTACCACCTCCTGATAAATTTACCCGATAGATAAATTCAGTTCTTAGCCAATGAGAGCGCTTAAAACCGCCGTAACCATGGCAACTATCCTCTAGATAGTTTATCAGGAGGATGGTAAAAGTGGGCCTTAGATCGTAACCTTTTGACGGATGACATGGGTCTGACTGCAATAAGTTCTTCAAAAAACACATATTTAGAAAAATTATATACAACTGTATGTTTTTTTTCTAATTTGCGAAAACTCAGTTGTTAACAGAAAGTTATAAGACATAATTAATATTTGATAAAATTTTAAACCATAGATTCAAGAAGAATTGGATGCGTTTTTGTGAATAGCTATAAGATGTTAGCATTTGTGAATCAATCACAGGACATATTACCGAAATGTGTCAATGTGATTGTTTTCTTCTTATTCGAGCAGCAATGTCTCATATTCATTCCAAAATGTTTCTACGCTTTTTACAGTTTGATGACAGACTACTGATATTTAGTCAGCTCTACATCAAGAATATTGTTTGCACATGGTAGAAAGGCTGTTGTGTATTAAAAATTCTTTGTCACTTTATGCAACGACAAATAAAATTGAGCAAATAAATACTGAGATCAAGACATTGGGAAAATTTTTAAACCTATTGATGAAGTTGCTAAGAAGTTAAGCTGCACTGCTTTGCAAACGCAGTTAATTAATCGATTTGGTGAAACAGAAAGTAATTCACGATATAAGCGAAAGCTTTTCACTGATTATATGAGGAAGATATTAAACAAAAACTATCTAAGGCATTGGAAGGTGAAGTAAAACTCATAAAAATAGGGTACTAAAAGATTACGTGACGAAAAAAGAGAAAACTTTAATGGTTTCGATTACCAGCATACTAGAATTTGACAATGAAATTCCGAGAGAGTAGACTTAAGGGTGATAAAGCTGCCAAATTATTTCCCCTAAAGTATAACTTATATCCGCGGATACGAACAATACCATGTCATCGAGTAGGGTTGACTATAACGCTAGCTAATACATCAATTCCCTTTTGTTCAGGAGTTACGATGTTAGTGATATCAATCACAACTCGATGAATCGTACTTTTGGAAAGCGTATGTTGATCTGGAAACCACTCTCGACACAGAGTTATAATTCATATATCAACACCCACTTTGTTTGTCACTTTCATCGTAAATTCTAAGTTATATAACGCCATGTATACCTTTAGCGCCACCTATCTAAACTTCATAATAACACTAGATGTCCATACCGCACTCCAATAGTACTGAATAGTATGAATTGACATATCATTTAGTGTTCAAATAAATTACTAGCAATCTGCCAACATATGAGGATGAAATTATCTTTTCAACAGTTTTTATGCAGGTTGGCTATAAAAAGCTGTAATTATAACAAGGTAAGAGAAAAGATATTTTTTAGTGTTCAGCAGAACATAACGCGCCTTTAACACTAAAGTGACATAATTCAAATAATAGTGTTTCTAGGAAAACAAGCGGCAATTGATAGGTGCCTTCTTATGGTATTTTATGATTAAAACTAAAAATATTCAATTTTTGAGTTGTGCCACTTCATTTCTAAAGGTGCGATAAGTATACAAAGCTATAAATTTCCTTGATTTCTGCAGAGAAGTTAGCATTACATTTTAAGTTATGTACATACGATTATACGTTACGATCAGTTACGATTTAATGTTTAATGACATTTAAAATTGTTATCATTTACTCTTATACTTATAATATTACTCTTATAATCAGAAAATGCAGAAAAAGATCCCTCTGGACAGAAAAGCAGTTGAAGGTTGTAAACCTACGTGCGATATCTGTGGAGATATAGCTGTTATAACTTGTGCATGGTGTAAACAATCATTGTGTTTTAAACTGTTTTTCCATGATTTTCATTATTGCCAACAATGCAATGCACAAAAAAAAGTAAAAAAAATAAATTAAATTAATAATGTAGAATACAATTTGTGATAGTCAACCATTTTTTTGCCAGTTACTTTTTAACTCATTATTACTAAATATTTATATAATTACACTAACTTTTGTGTTATTTAAATAGAGTAAGGATAAAAAACTTTTTCTGTAGGAGTATGAAAATTATTAGCGAAAATATATTTTCTACCCCAAACTTCTAACCCTTGTAAGTTCTTTTAAAAGTACTACCTAACGTATAAAAAATCATCGTGGTAAATTGCACCAAAATCGACAATTTTCGCAAAAAAATTAATTTTTGGGTAGTTAACTCCAGCCACCCCTAAATGTCGTATAGAGTTTATTTTACTGCGTAAATCTTAATTTGCAACTAATTTATGGTTTTCTTCAAAATATTGTTCAACAGTGTAACAGTTTATCACATTATTCTTAAGGAAAGGGGTTATCTATCATACCCCGTAACTTTGCAGGGGATGGTCAGAGGCAAATAAGAAAAAACACGTAATTAATATTTTTTAAACGTACTATTAGGATACTTAATATCGTCAAAATCGACACGGTAGTTTTCAAAATATTCCAAAAAACTAGCGGGAGTTTACCTCCTAAAGCCCTCAGATACATGTATTTGTGATATATAAATGGAAAGCTCTTTGAAAATGAATATCAGTTTACATTTTCCATATTTCGATAGCTATTTTCGTCTTCAGCCTCTAAGGTACTATATATCGTTCGCCCCGATTTCCAACCCTTATAACTCGCCCCAGGGTCTTTATTAGCACGTATAAAAAAATACGTAAACCTTATTTTTGGCCATACTATCGCTGTACCAAATTGCAACAAAATCGGTGAGGGACAGTTTCGATATTTCCCTTGTCAGATTAAAAGTACCATTTATCAAAAATGTTACTAAGATTAACTGTTAATTCAAGATTTAATTGTTATTAGAAAAGATCACAATTAAATAATGCTTTGATGAAAGTGAAGTTATAGAAAGTAATGTTGATGTAAAAGTAATTTATTTAAAAATGAGTATTAAGTTACTATAGTTAGATATGGAATGAATGGAATGCATTGGCGGTCTTTTTTGTGTAATTTAAAGTCATCCCACTTCTTTAGTTTTACTAATTCTTATTCATTTCGCCTTTGTAGAGCTAGCAGCTGATGACATTATTAGCCGAAACCGATTTTGTGTATATTAAATTTTTATTAAAAGCTCACAAGGTGAAGTTCCAAAGTTTATTTATTTCATTTACAATCATAGTTAATCATTAAAATTAAGTTGTATCGATCTTTTTAAAAAGATATTTCATTAAAAATTGTTGAGCTTTAATTTTTTTTAATTACGATATAAGGGTCTTTATTGAGTAATTTGATTGGAAATTAAAGTTGTTCACGATAAGCTTATGATACATAAGATTAAGTTTACTTATACTAATTAAGCTATTATACTAAGTCTTCTTAACCCATTTAGTCCAAGTTATAAGATATGAGATGGTGCAAAAATGCTAAGAAACGAACAACAACACAAAAATATTTTGATTAACCGAGTAACAAATTACTCATAAATAAGTAATAATAGTAATACAACATAATACTGACAAATACCAACTTTAGTATGAAGTTTAATATAAAAAATGGGATGAACAATGGGAATGAAGTAGAATCATTGGTCGTGATACTTCGCAAAGCACTTTTCAAGTAAATGAACGCTATACTTACAGCAAATATATTGACACACTATGTCCATAAACGTCTATTTCTAGGGAATTCACCGAATAAATCCGTCTAAACTGGTTTCTGATAATAAGAAAGATAATGTAATTCTTATATCTTATCATACATCCCAATGGTGTGTTTTTGCACCATTAATGTTTCAAGACTTATTTTCAGAATTTATATTTTTATTTCGCGTTTCAAGATATATATGTGGAAAATATGCACTAAAAACGTGCAAATGTCAAAATTTTAAAGAATTTTATGCACTAAAAATAGTTTTATTTTTATTGTATATTTTAAACAGAAATTGTCAATCGAAAAAAATTGATGCAAATATGGTTTAAATAACAAGAATTATGCATGTATAGCCTAACAACCTTCAAATCTGGAAGTATATGATTGTAAAATAATTTTAAAAATGCTGGTGCGTATTCACACCAGTGGGACTAAATGGGTTAAACAGTTCAGATATTTATACTTGGGTTCCACGAGATTTTTAAAATTTCCAAGAAATATTAGAACTCTTTTTAATGATTCATTAAAGCTTGATATGTTCAGCAATAATCACCGAAAACTAGAACTAACACTAGCACTATCACTCGAACTACACTAGACTTAGAACTAGAAACTTTCGGGTTAAGTCGTACGTTTTCTGAAAAAATGTTTAACGTTTCGGATGCTATTTTGCAACTTTCTTCAGAAACAAGTTCGAAGTTCGAACTTGTCGTGAAGTTCTAAGTGCTAGTGTTAGTTTTAGTGTTCTTTTCATATTTGCAAAAGCATTTTAGGTCTGTATAATGTAAGATTAGAGTTACTTTATGTTTGTGAAGTATTCTCATTCATTTCGAAACTGTTGTCTGAAGAGTATTTAAACGGCGGGTGTCGATGTCCCTCCATCTATCCACCTCGTCGTAGTGGGCGCAGCCACTCAGTACTACTACTACCTCAGAAAGTTCTACTACCTCCAGGGTCTACCGAGCGCAAAAGCCAAACCGCACTCAACCGGCGGGCAGTCGGCGACCCTACTACTTTTAACTACTTACCTCTAACAGTATTCCAAAAGAAGGTGGGGCGGCGCCGCGTTGCGGAGGCAGAACCTCCGAGCACGACGAATCAGCGTCCGTCTCGGACGAAGCCGCCGTTCGCGATCCCGATCGCAAAGATCACTCAGTCTTCGGCCGGCTACCGACAGGTCGGCGTCGAAACGCTTAGCACCCCGATCGAGAAACATCTCACAAAGTATACACGTCAAAAACCGAATTCGACGTCGTCTCCGAAAAACGCGACTCGCGAATAACTTTTTCTTTAGTGATACTCGTTTGGCGAAGAAGTGATATGTGACGATTTAAATATAAAATTAAATATTTTTAAGAATTAAGAGCAGTGTCGATAAGGTCTTCGCCGACGTCGCACGTGAAAGTCAAAACCACCCGAAGAATATGAACAAGAACGACAGTGCCTTATTTGCTGATTACTACTTATACAAGTTCTCTACATGTTGTTGATGTTGTTGTCGTTTAATTTAAACGATTTATAACAAAATTTTTAATAGGAATTAAGGTGAGTCTATTTTTCAGTTATTTTCAGTCAAAATTTGCAAATCATAAGTTGTAAAAAGATTATCGTTAATCGAAGGTCTATAAGTACTAAAAATCCTTCGCTAAATTCCCTGCAAAGTTCGCAAATCTTATTTGGAAGAGTACAATTTTATGTCTAATGTTGGTTTAAACTTTATCACAAGAAACCCTTGAAGAAGGATTGTCTAAATTTAAATTAAATCTTAAAATTTTTGAAATCTTTACAATAACTTGTTCCCAAAACCATTTCCTAAAAGATTAATAAAAAACAATAATCTTCAATACCTTGTTTAACTTTGATCGTTTAAAATAACTCAATTTAGTCTATAAGTACTAAATATTCTTTGCTAAATTCCCTGCAAAGTTCGCAAATCTTATTTGGTAATTTATTTGGAAGAGTACAATTTTAAGTTGAATGTTGGTTTTATTTATCACAAATTTTTAGATTCCACTTAAATATGATGTTAAATCAAGTAATCGAAAAATCCTTGAAAAAGGATTGTCTAAAATTAAATTATCTTAATAAAAAACAATTCATACAACTTAATCTACAATAACTTGTTTAACTTTGATCGTTTAAAATAAGTCATATAAAACAAGCAATAATTTATGTTAATGTAGAACTCTAAATCTATCTTGAATGAACGATTTATTTTAATTGTAGCACTTTTTATAATAGTACCATTTTTATGTTCTGATATCAGAAAAAAATTATGGCTTATTCAGTGCGTAATAAGTACAACTATTCCACTTAACAACTTATTATAGCACTTATTAGGTAAAACTGATTTTAATTACGTAATTTTTAATTTGTCTAGGTTTTTCTAAGTTTTTTCTAAGAAATGGTTCTCATAAAACACTTTTTCTCTATTGTATTCTACTGTGTGTAATCTCATAATTACTAGGTTTTACTTAAAAATTATTAAAAAGAAGTAGTCTTTTCAAATGTTAGAATTTCTTCTATATTAATTTTAAGAATCTGATGTACTGGTTATATAATAACAATTAGAAATGTGTAGAAAAAATCGATCACATTTTTTTATTGAACCATCTATAATTTATCAATCTCTTGAGTTATAAGTTTCATGATAAAACCCTTGTTAGAGCAATTTTACGTTTAATTATAGAAAGACTTAAAATATATTATGAACCTAATTCCTACCACCATAACAATCGACAAGATTTATAACAATTCTCATAATTACTAGGTTTTACCTCAAAATTATTAAAAGAAGTAGTCTTTTAAAATGTTAGAATTTCTTCTATATTCATTTTAAGAATCTGATGTACTGGTTATATAATAACAATTAGAAATGATTAATTAATGTTTCCGTGAAATGAGTAAAAATCGATCAACATTTTTTATTAAACCATCTATAATTTATCAATCTCTTGAGTTATAAGTTTCATGATAAATCCCTTGTTGGAGCAATTTTACGTTTGATTATAGAGACTTAAAATATATTATGAACCTAACTCCTACCACCACAACAATCGACACGATTTGTAACAATTAAAGTTTTTATAAAAATTATCCAATTTCTTTGGTAAAATTGTACAAATAAAAAGTGTAAAAGTCTGCGGTTTGTATTTTTTATCGCAAGATACGAAGATGAAAAGGATTTATTAGATATAGATATACAGTATGCTCGTAAAGTAAGGTATAAAAATATATGATTTCAAGAAAAATCGCAAAATGTAAAGAATTGTATTCTTTACTTGTATCTTTAAATCTTTATTTTCATCGATGCTGTTTTCAAATACCAATTCCCATTTTTATTACTTCTGATATGTGATAATAAATATTAACAATAATTACATAAAAAAATTACGTTAAAGTAGAGGAAGAAAAATTTGTTGAGCATTAAAAAGTTTAGTTAAAGAGTGAGATTGAAGTTGTAAGAAAACCCAAATTCAATTTTTTTTGATATTGGGCCGAAGCTTGATATTGATAAATCAATCACACATTAAATATTAAAAAGCACAAAGAAAAATCATCCCTATAAAATAAAGCTTATCAACAACTTTCTTAAACGAACGCAATTTTGTGAGTAATTACAATAATTTTGTAACCACGATGAAGGCTTTGTCAAAAACACCTTTTTTGGTCCCATTTACACTAATTGGACGAGTAAATAAAAGAATTGTTCGTGTTGAGACATCAAAATGCACATTGGGAGAAGGGATCCAATATCCACAGATAAATGTGTGTATATGAACAGTAAAGAACTCTTTTCTGGTTCGTTACAATTTTAACTTTTACTGGAGCAGATATTTGACATAAAATTTTGCTGAACTTGAGCAAAATTGAAATAAGTTGAACTTAAGATATTTCATCAAAGCATACAGTTTTTTAACAAATTGGATGTCGACTTTTTGTACCACCGCTCCATTTGCATAAAAATAAAATATTCTACATCTAGTTTTCGTATTTATTTTTGTTGTACTCGTATTCTGCAAATTCTACAAAAAAAAACAATGATGTTAACAAAAATAAACATATGTTCTTTAAATAGAAAACAAAAATTAAAAAATATTTACTGTAATAAGCTTGCAAGTACGATTTTAGTTTCCCTAAACAAAGTGATATCTGACAAGTAGCCACTACATCATTGCACACCGGCTTTGCCTTGGTGCTATTTAAACCTTTGGTTTCTTCTTCTTGGTCCACGCTTAGACTGATGCGCAACTTAATCCTTAATCCTTTTGAAAGTAGATATTAAAACTGGACCTACAAGAGTGTCTACAACAGCCCTTCTGAAATCTTTTGCGGTTATTCTACTAGGCAGATATATTGGTTTTTATATAGTAGATAAATATGATGTTGCTTACACTTGTTGCTTTGATGATCTATTTTGTAGCCAGCTAAAAGTTGATCCAATTTATCGATACTACTCATAATAAATCATTTTGATTGAAAATTTAAGAGATTTACTTTTGTACCAGTACGGTTGTAAGAGTTAAGCAATTTTTCTGTACCGATCAGATTTCCCGACACTGTTGATCCAACTCAATTCAAACATGAGTTATTTTTCCACAAATATGCTATATACACTATACCCTCCTTCTTTGACCACCAAGATTGCTAGATTTGTTCTGTACGACTTCTTCCTGCGCAGCAAATTCTTTTTTTACATTAAAAATCAGAACCCTGGATGTAGTTCTACAAATAATTTCTGATATCATAGGAAATTGATATCAAACTAGGGGAGTTTGAATGAAAACTTTATAAAAAATATAAATCTTTATAACTCTATCCAAAGAATACATCTTGATTTTAATTTATTTAAAATTTAAATGTCTTCTTCTATTTTAATTATTTGCCCCCCACGTATAATCGAAAAATTAAAAAAAAATCTGGAGAAAGCTTAGTCATATTGCTTAATTCCTAAGGCTGTGCTTGAGAGATTGTTTACGGTCCGGTCCATTCGTGAGGAGATAATAAATTAGATTAGACTCGACGCTCGGTGTCATTTAATAGAACTGACGTGCCGTAATATCGTGATCAATTAAACAGGCGTGTGCTCGGATTAATCCACTTAACCCTTTCGTGCGTGAATCCTCGATCACGACCGAATCCGACGGATCCTTATTCTTAAATCACCGTGGTCCTGGTTAATTTAAAACTCTTTCTCTCCCGGTAACGCCTTTAACCTCGTAAAAACCATCGTTTTATTGCACATCCCATTAATTACGAATTTAAACAATGAGATTAATTAGAATGTAAAGATTTGTTAGAATTTGGGGAATGTAAAACAGAAGTTAAAGATAAATTAATGTATGTTTAGATTAACTAATAAAGTTAGATAAAGTTTGTTAACGTAATAAAGAGAGTTGAAGAAAAAAATTAATAACTTGATTTGACGTGTTAAATTATTAAATAAAAAGAATGATTGAAGGGAATACTATAATCGCCTCTTATACACATGAATATAAATCAGTTGTATTTGACGGGTTCGTCATATAAACGCAGCCATATAAATGGCCCATCATCAACGCAGCTCCGGGTTCTTTGAAAAAGTGCCGACTCTTTTGATTCGGTACCGTCTATTTGTCAAGTAGGTGTCAACAAAGGGTTATGCAAACGCGCCTCGTCTGACTGACAGCATTGTATCCGACCATAATGATTTCTATAAAGCCAAATACTCCCTCGACAATGATGATGAAAACTTTTTTTGATTAACCGTTATTATCATTATTATTAGCGGTTTTTATTCGTTTATTAACCCGGAGAGCGGCGCCACAAAATTTTCAATTTTATTTAGCATTTTGCGGCTACAGGTTTTTTCCCTACAGGTTTTTTTTTTGATAAACGACGTCCGTTAGAGTTTAATAACGCGTGTCGCGGGCTTTATAAGTCGTTGTAGGTGTTAGAATTGAAAGTCCCAAGGCCGTTTCGAAAATAGAAATCGCTTGCCAGTAAATCAACGTACTTCTTTTTAATATACACGGAACTAGTATGTAAGAAAAACTATGTAAACTGTATAATATTGTATAAAACGTAGAGGTTCTTGCGTTTTATGGATGCTAGAAACCAATTATTTATTGATACCAGCACGCGACAAACGATATCATGTAAATTTTTGATATTTACATAGTTACAGTACGCGTGAATTTGTTATTCTAATTAATGTGCACCATTTATGGACAAAACATTTAACCCAGTTTTACGCGCGATTTACAATAACAAATATTAATACAGTAAAAACTCGATATAACGGATTAATACACCGAAGGGAAGGTCCGTTATAGCCAGAAGTTCGTTATATGAATAATTTTAATGCATAAAAATTCGGACAACTATCCACACAGTTGCGTTTATTCTACGTGGGTTTAAATTTTTACCAAGGATATGGTAGAATCTAAGAGTACTACATCCCAGGAATAGGTGCACACTTCGAAGGACCGTTCGTGACGTCAGCGCTGACTAACAATTAAAACTAGAACCAACACTAGACCTAGAACTAGAAAGTAGGAGGTAAG